GGAGGTATAGTCGGCAAGTACCCACGGAAACACCTATCCGACACGCATCTATCCATCCTTGGATGTCGAATGGATATGCTACCGGGTACTGCGTGAGGTCGTTGAAGCTTCGGCCGGCCATCGCATTGAGCTCGATAAGGTACTCGAAATTGGACATGGCGCCGCGGAGCCACTGCTTGGTCAAGCTTTGGCGCAGTCGCTTCATCGAGCCGAGCGGGCCTTGGCGCAGCACGTGCGCCCAGTAAATACTGTTGTGGATCGGCATGCCAAAGAGCGCGTGGAAGACGTCGTCGCGGTCACTGCGGGCGTCAAACGTGCAGAAAAACGTCCCGCCGTTCGTGTCGACAAACTCGAGTCCGGTCGGTCGCAGCTGGTACTTCATGCGGTAAAACTGCTTGATCTCGCCTACGCCAGTGAGTGGCGATGCAAACAGGCTTGATGTTGGCACCGTAGGGAAGCCGCCACTTGCGCAGCGTTGCATTCGATGACTTGGTCTTGTCGCATACGATGCGCAGCGCATTCGCCTTGGCTTTGAGCACGTCGGTGAGGTCCACGAGCACTTGGAGGTGTGTCTTGCGCTTCGAGACAGGCTCAGACCCGTCAATGGCCGAGTAGCCCTCGATAAAGTAGAGCGCTTCACGGCAAAACACAAGCACGCCCAACTAGACAAGTCCCGTCGCTACACCAAATGAGATTTGGTTGACGTACGGCTTTGCCCATGCCGCAGAGGTACCCGGCGTTGCAGCAGCGCAATGGCACTTGATCGTGTCGGTGCAAGTAGCGCAAAATGCTTCCATACATGTTGCGGTCGACGGCCAGTGTCTCGGGCGCCGAGGCCCTCGGCGACAACACGCTGATTTCGTCCAAGTCGACGCTCATGACAGACGCTGTAGATGGTCTGTCGCATTCGTCCTCGTCGTCCGAGCCGTCCGAGGTGACGTCCGGCAAAGGCTTTTCGTCCTTCTCGTCGTCACGCTCGTCGTCGTCATGGACGTCATTGGTGCTTGGTTTGCGCAAGACAGACGTTTGCATCGCCTCTGAGTCGGCCATGTCAAACAGTGTGCTCGGTAGCCTATTCTCGCTGCCGCTCAACGTACTTTGCACGTCCTCGAGTACGCCCGGTGAGATGCCGAGCGCTGAGTCGGGCGTGAAGAAGCGCTGGACGATGGCCTCGGCTACCAAGCGAGGCGTGGCGTCGGCACCCAACTCTATCACTCGCATCCAGCAAAGTCATAGATGGGGCGAGCCTACCGTGAAGATGGTCGCGCGTCTGCTGGTATTTGCAAGAGACCTCCTTGAACGACACGCGACAAGAACTTTCGGACGACTTGTACTGGAGCTGCCGGTAGACTTCGACCATGTCGTGAAACTCGAGGCTTGGGTGGGTCACAACAGGCGCCATCTTGGTGCTGACCTCGTTCGCATCGTCCATGACTGCGCGATCACGTGGCTTGAGGCGGCGGCGCATGCGACAAGGGCCTTCGGTTCCGTCCAGCGTCATGGGACCCATCCACGACGCTTGGTACACGGACGACGACGACACTACGAGCGATGTCGCGCTGCCTTCGACGTTGGCCCAGAGGGACCGTGGTGCAACGTGCTGCCACTGCGTCGCCGCTTCACGCATGCTTTCTTCGACTTGGTGCATCTGCTGGTCGTTTGTCGCGACGAGCAGTCGCGACGCCGCCATCAAGCTCGGCTCTGGCACTGCGGCGCCCACTGAAGGCGACGGCGATGGCAGCGTCGGCTCGATCGGAATGTGAATGGCGACTTCGACTTTCGTTGCCGAGCTCTTGCGCACGGCCAAAATGTTTTCCAGCACGTCCACAAAGAGATCAAACATCGGGTCGGTCCGCGCCGGGAGCACGTCGTTGAGAATCGGGTACTGCGCCGTGACCCATGCCGCAAAGGTGGGCCACGCAGGTGACGTTGGCGCGTCAATGGCCAGCAATTGGTCCATGCCCCGGACGTACAAGTTGAGGCCCTCCTTTTTGGCGCTCGACGTCGACATGGATGGAAGCAAAGTCGACTTGGGCTCGACGACCAGCAAGTCTTGCACAAGCATCGGTCGCTGGGTAATGAGGAATTGCCACAGCTGGACGGCTACCCATGTCACCGCCTCCTTGTCATCGAGCAGCATGCTATGACAGCATCGTCTACACCCACGGACGTCAACAAGAGAGGACGCACCGGAAGAGGGCTGTGGCAAGACACATGGCAAACGACTTGTCCGTCTCGGGGCCGACGACGAGCTCCTTTTGGTGCCCATGCAAGCTCAGCTGCCGCATGTGCAGCCGGAATCCAGTCGAAACCGCGTCATTCGCGCTTGGCGCTGCTCCGTACACGAGGACGCAGGACCCTTTGGTTTGCTGCAGCAAGAGCTCCTTGTGGGTCACGAGGTGCTCGAGGAGACGGCAGTGGTCGTCGCCATAGTCGTGCGCCGTGTAGATGCCTTGTAAGATAAAGCCTTGGGTCGCAAAGACCAGCAGCGAGTAAAAGTATTGTTGGACTTCAGCGCCCAAGATCCTAATCCCAACAATAGCACCTACGCTTGCATCGATCATATCGGTACGGGGTTTTCTCTGGTGCGTTGCAGAGCTCGAGGGCTTGAAAAAGGAATGTTGTGACACTCAGTGTCAACGCCGGAGTCCACGCGGCTGGCTTCGTCACATATCTACGTCCATCGGTATCAAGAAGCGCCAGGTCAGCACGCGTATACCCTTTTTTGGGACCTTTGGCGTCCGAGACGGCGAGCCGCAGGAGGCCCAGACACAAGCCGCAGAGGTTTTTCATGGCCACGATCGAACAGTGCGCCGTGAGCATTTCCGTGTGGTTGACAATGCGCAGTAGCATGTTGAGCCAGTCGGCCAGCCCCGTCTCCGCGTCGCGCCATCGCCAGAGCGTAAAGAGCATGTGGTCGCCCCAGTCGTCGCGTTCGAGGAGCGCTTTGCGCAAAAAGGTCTCGAGACACACGGCCGCCATGTGGGAGATGGTCTCGGCCGGCATCAGCACATCGGTCAGCCGTCCGATGCAGTCGATGACGACCGAGAGAAAGAGATTGCTCGACCGGCACAGCGCTTGAAAGACGAGCGAGTCGGCGTCGAGACGCGCCGTGAGCCACGACACACTTTCAAGCGTCGTGAGCTCGGACGCGTCGTCCGCTTGGTTTTTCGACCAGAGAAACCCGAGTAGGTCCCAGACAGCATCCACGCACACACGGTCCATGGCCACTGGCGTGTAGCGCGATGGCTCTGGAAAGGCGTCACCCATAGCTGCTGCATCGCACTGAACGCGGGGCAATGGAATGAGAGCGACAAAGGCCAGGAGCGGCAGGAGAGCAGAGGCGTGGCCGCGGTGGAGAGCAATGCCTTGCCGTAAACGCCGCGCGAGGTGCGCATTCACGAGCAAGTGGGCGCCAAACGCCGGCTGCGCTTGGGCGAGCGTCATGAGCACGCGCTGCGCCAAGAGTGCATCCGGCGACATGCCGCTGGGCGTCGACGGCGCCAAAAGCAGAATTTCCATGAGCACCACTTCGAACCCATCAGGTGAAAAGACGAGGGGCTTGTCGATGGCGCCACCGAGGTACCATTGCGGAAGGACACTGGCTTTCATCTTCTTGTCGGACGCGAGACGAAACACCACCGCGTCAACGAGCGTCCGTCCAAGGACGGAACCCGGTCCGTCGAGCTCGGCCAGAATGTGGCGCAAGAGACAGCGCCGCAGCGCACCGCCGTTTGGATCGGCGAGCGTCATGAGCAGTCGGTCGGACACAGCAATCGCGTCGTCAATGTGCGCTTCCATGACCAAGAAGGCGCGAAAGAGACATAACACGGCCTCGATTAGCGACGGCGCCTCGGCGCTCTGCGGCGTGCGCGTGAGTGCGCCGAGATACCCGAGAAGCCATTGCACAAAGCTGCAGTGACGGAGTTGTCTTGCGTTGAAGAGCGCGTTGGGGTTGACCGGGTGCAAGAGATACGAGACGAGACGGAGCAAGAGGTGCTGGAGCAAGCTTGAGAGACACCCCCGCAAGAGTGGGTTCAGGACCAACTGGGTCATAGCATGGGCGTTGACGACGACGGGGAACGGAAATTTGTCGGCCCGTGCCGTGAACGCAGCGTCCATGCACGCCACATCGAGTTTGAGGGACCCAGAGATCGCGGTTTTGCACAATGTCTGGAGGGCGCGGTCGTCGAGAAGCGCGCTGTGCGCCTGCGCAAAGGCGGCGAGCCAGTGGTGGCCGTGTGTTTCCAGAAAGGCCGCGAGCAATGACGCCGACGCCTTGAGGCATCGTACCAGAACGCGCAGCGCTGTCTCCATCTCGTCCGTGGTGGTGATTTTGGCAAACCACGGAAGGAGCACCGCGTGCAGACCACCGAGGCTCGGTAGTCGCCGCGGTAGATCCAGCGGCAGCACGCTCTCCGGCAAGACGTCAATGCACGGCGACGCGTACAACACGAGGTCGTCGGGCCACTTGAAGCTCGACACGAGCTGGAGAACCTCGCGCCCCAGCGTCGAGAGCTTGCAGTTGGCCTCGAGGAACGCTCGAAAACCGAGCTCGATGGGTGCGACCTCGTCGTCGTCGCCCACCTTGTCGTGGGTTGGCAGTGCCCATTCGCGCTGGGTCGAGGCAAGGCACTTGAGCAACCCGAGGCGCTTGGCGGCCCGACTCACGTCCACGCGGCGACCCGAGAGACGATGCAGCAAGTGGCACATCACCGCCTCTGTCCAATCGTACAACGCTCCGTACGCCGTTGAGTTGCCCGTGAAGCGATGGCCAAAACTCGGGCCTTGGAGAAACATGACCGTCGCGCCAATCGGCGGCAAGACGTCCGCGAGCAGCCACAGTGGGCCGAGACAGAGGTCGTGCCCAGCGGTCGCGCTCGGACACTGCGGGTCGTGCCCCAACGTCACGCGGAGTGCGGAGGGCGCGAGCGATGCGGGGTAGTGCAGTTTCTTGGACGTCACCTCGGCGCCGTCAATGTACAAGGTCACGAGCGAGCTGCCGACGACCGATTTGCGGTGTGTCAACACGATATGGTGCCAACTCCCGAGGAAGAGGCCCATTTCGACGTTCTTGAAGACCACTGACGCCTTTTTCGTCGACGACGCCGCGTCGATGCGGAGGCTGCCGTCAAAGTAGATGCGAGTGTAGCAGAGCGGCTGGTCGGTGGCGTACAGCGACAAAAGTGGCGCGATCGGGCGCGGCGACGCGACTTGCGCCAGCGCGCGCTGCCACATGTTCCAATCGGCGTCCGTCTCGGCGCGTGCGTGGATAGCCCCCGCACCACCCCGAGGTACGATGCCAAACGCCAGTGGGTCGTCCAAGTTGTCTGTGACGACGTCAACCACGTCGAGTGTCACAGCGTCGGTTGCGCCGGCGACGGCCGCGTCTTTGTTGGCATATAACGTCAACGTTGAGCCGACAAGGACGGCGTATTGGGGTCCGCAGTCGTCAAACTCGAGCACGCCTTCGCAGAGCGCGAGCGACGTGGTGACGTTCTTTGCGACGACGGATGTTGTCGGCGGCGTAAATTGCAGCCAGCACGCGACCGAGTAGCCCGACGTCGTCGGCCACACCTTGTCGGACGCCACGTGCGTCAAGGCTTTGGGTCCAAACCGCGTGTGCGGGACAGTCGGCGCTTTGACGAGCTCGTACAGAAAGGCCAAGCCTAGAGACGGCGGCAGCGCATGGACGACCCGCAAGCAGTCGCGCAGTTGCGGCAGCGGCATCGCGTCGTGGGCAATGCAGCGCAAAAGAGGCACGTACAGAGCCGGGTCGGGCGACGCGACCACGAGCGGCAATAGCCAGCGGAAGAGACCTGCCGCGACGAGCTGCGCTTTCTCGGGCGATCGCAGTCGTTGCAGAACGCTCGTATACCACGTGTGAATCCACTCGGCGGGCGACGACACCGCTCCGAGAAGATGGCAGAGCACGGAGACGGCCGCCGCATGGTGCACGTGGACTTCCGCCTCGCGTATCTCGAATGCCAGGCCCAACACGAGCTCCAAGAGCGCAGCCCCATCCGCGTCAAGCCAGCGCACGAGATGCGTCGCCAGCATAGTGTACAAGTCGTTGGCGAACGTGTAGTCGCAGAGGTCGGGTGTGCGCCAGAGCAAGGTGAGGATGTTGAGGAGCTCGTTTCGGAGGCGTGTTTCGTCGCATGGCAGTGTCGAGAGTAGCGCCAGGAGCGCTTCAATGCCTCGTACGCGACACACATAGAGACGCTGAACGCGCTCGTGGGCTGTCAAGAGACACTGCAAAAGCGCGACGGCCGGTGCCAAGCGCGTCATATCGGTGCTGTACGTTTGGCACAAGCCCAAGACACGCACCACATCCCCTATGACATTGTCGTCCGTATCGATCTCGGCCAGCGTGCAAGGGATCGATATTAGCGCCATCGACGTCTCTGTGTCGAGAATGAGGGCGTTCAAAAGCTTCTCCAAGTGCGTCGGCGCGTCGGTCGGTCGCCAACGCGCTGCTGCGGCCGCATTGCGCACGAAGAGAGCCGCGCCGAGGCCCGCCCACGCTTGCAGCACATGGCGCACCGGTGCGAGTGCTTCGGGTGAGCGGTTGGCTGTGGCGGCTACCATGGCGACGAGTCCACGATCGACGAGTCCAAACTCGACCAGCGACGCTCGCAGCGGATGCTCGGTCGGTGCCGCATCAAGGAGGCGACGCAAGGTGCCGCACGCGCGCACCGCAAAGCTGTGGTCGCTGATCGTCTCGAGCTCCTACGCCATTCAAATGAGCTCTCCATCTTGGAAGATGGACAAAACACGACCTGTGTCGAAGCGTCCATGCACAAGGCGCACAGCACCGAGATGCTGTCACGGACAAGACCAAAGTCAGCAACGACGCCGACAGCTTCGACAGCAAGTAGAACGCTCGGCTGGGCCGCCCACGCGACTTGCGGCAGCTTGGAGACGAGCGACGCCAGCACGTGCTGACGGGGCTCGAGACGTGTGTAGGTCGCCACGTCGCCCGTGTACACGCACGTCAGCAGCGCAAAGAGCCCGACGCGCTGCTCGTCGTCAAGCTTTTCAACAACGTGGTCTTTCAAGGCGACGATGGCGGCTTCGTTGCGGACGCTCTCGGGACCGTCGCCAAGGGGCAAGAGCATGCGGTAGAGCGCCTCGGCGCTCTCCTTGGCGCAACGGTACACGCTCCAGAGCACGTCATAGCCGCGCGCCGCATGGAAATCTTGGACGAGAATGAGCGCGTGCTTGGCGCTTGCGACAACGAGGCGAATGAGCGCGCTCAGGCCCACGGCCGCGTCGTGGTTGGCGAGCGTAAAGGTATGTTCGGGCGCCCGTACCTCCTCGACCGCGTCCGGTGCTGTTGTTTGCACGAGCCCGAGCGCGCGGCTCACGGCCAAGTGGGTATCGAGAGGCGGCGCGTCGGCCTCGAGCGCGAGTGAGTGCAGCGTCGAGATCGCTGTCGCAGCGTTCGCCGATGTCACGGCGGTGGCGTACGTAAGCTGGCGCATGGTCGCAAGGCTCCGCTCAATCGCGCGCGAGTCGTGGAGGTACCACACCGCGCCGGCGTTGAGTGTGGCGGCGTCAATTGCGTTGCTGATCGAGGATCGGAGTCCGTAGCACGACGGGGTGTAAATCTCGGCAACGAGGCGAAGCAGGTTCCCGAGCTCGCAGCGGTAGCTCTCCATGACCCGCGGGTTGCCGCAGAGCGCGAGGAGGCATGCGCCGAGCGTCGTGATGCAGGTCTCTACCTGTGGATCCATTGGGCTTTCTGAGGCACCGAGCGTCTGGACGTGCTCGACGACAAAGAAGAGCCGGAGGCGGTCGAGTGTCTCGACCACGAGTGCGGGGAAGGTCGACTGGTCGCAGAACGCTGTGCCGGCATCGCTTGCAAAGTACTGTTGGATGCACCCGTCGCCTACGCATCTCTTCCTGTAGATGTTGGGACGATGGCGTCGTACCGGCCATCTCGAGGATAGCCTTGGTCGCTGTCTGGACAGACGTGGCCAGCTTGGCGACGTCTGCGCTCGTCCCATCACGCTTCATTGCCGCGATCCTAGATACGCAACATATGGCAAGCCCATAAAGAGCAGAGCGTGTACATGAGCTTGCAGGCCATCGCAATGTCCTTCATGCGTGGCGTCATCTTGGTGAGCCGCGCCTAGCCTCGCATGAGCGCCGGGCCATCGCGCAGGAAGCGTACATCGACAGCGACGACGACCGGCGGGGGCGTGGGCGCAGGTGGCGGCGTCGTCGCGGGCTTCCCATCATGGGCCTCGGTCGGCTTGCGCAGGCCGCCGAAGAGCTTGTTGAGCTGCTTCTTCATCGGCCGCGACTGCGGAAGCTCAAAAAGATCCAAATGGATTGCATTAAATTACAATACAATAAAATACCATCTTTAGTGGAGTTGATACGCACCATCGCATTAAATTGGGCGTATTTTTATTCTGCCCAGCGCGGATTGGCCATAATCAGCAGTAATCCGGATGCGACGTGGCCTGACGCTGGCGGCGATCCGCCACCGCGTCTTCCTCTGGCGCCGGGCCCTGGGCTGTGAGCGCGCCTTCGTCGTCGTCTTCCTCGGCGCTCTGGCGCTGCTAGCGCTCACGAGCGTCGTCACAGCGCCCATCCGCTATGCGCGCAGCGTGTACAGGGCCGACGAGCTGCCCGCGCTTCTGGCGACCGTCGTCGACGACGTCGGCCAAGCGCCGACGCTGCGCTTCCGCATCTTGCAGCTGACCGACATGCACTACACGGGTCGCCAGCACTACCCATGCCGCAACCCGCCGCACAAGGTCGTCGAGCGGCACTTGCCATGCACCGAGAGCAGGATGACCGAGTTCATTAGCTACCTCCTTGACACGGTCGAGCCCGACTTTGTAGTCTTTAGCGGCGACTTGATCGAGTCGGTCGAAGTGCCCCACGTACGTCCTTGCATCTTCTTAGCCTATTCCATCATGCGTGTAGACGGCAGCCGAGGTTGTCGACGCGCTTCACGCCGCCACAAGCGAGGTCGTCAAGCGCAACCTGCCATGGTCCATGGTGTTTGGCAACCACGACGAAGGCGTACCGTGCCTCTGGACGCTACAATCCAAGAGCTAATGATGCACTATTGCGACTAGGCGACCATGGCGCGCCGAGAGATGCTGGGCCATCTCGAAGACCTGCCGTTCGGGTACATTGCCATGGGGCCCGAGGGCATCGGCGGCGTCGGCAACTACGCACTCCGCGTCCAGGCGCCGCAGGACGGCCCGTGGTATGCTCGCAAGTCGATCAAGTCGCTCCTGCGCATGTACTTTCTTGACTCGGTCCAAGGCCTCTTTACGCCGTCGCAGCTCGAGTTTGTGACCGAGCTCTCGGCCACCACGTACCACGAGCACGTGCCCGCGCTCATGTTCTTCCACCACCCGTTGCACGAGTTCAAACAGTACGTGGACGGCGACGGCCAGGGCCAGCGGCTCGAGAAGGTGTCGCACGGCGACCACAACAGCGGCATGTTTGACGCCCTCTCGCAGAGTCTGTCCACAGCGCCCACCTTGCTGTGCTCATCCACAATGGCTAGTGGGCGATGTCAAGGGCGTCTTTGTGGGTCATGACCACTTTAACGACTATTGCTTCTACAACGCGCCACTGCACTTGTGCTACGGCGGTGGTGTCGGCTACGGTAGGCCACAGCCAAGACGCGACCTCAACGCTACACTGTAGGCGCGGCGTACGGCTTCGAGTACACGCCACGTCGGGCGCGTGTGATCGAGTGGACGTGGGAGAAGGACGCGGAGCGCATTGCCACGTGGCTGCACGAAGACCCGACTATGGGCGGGACCGTCTCCGACAAGTACCAAGTGTTTGAGAGGAAGCATACGCGTCAGAAGCTGCGCGCGCACGATGATATCATTCTCGTATAAGAAGAGACAATATAGAAGTGCTACGGCGCGGCTGCGAGCGCATCCAGTTGGGCTTGGATCGCATCGAGCTGGACGAGGAACGCATGGAGCTCGGTATGGTCCATTTCCATGTCCCATGCGACGCCGTTGCTCTCTTGCATGTGGAAGAGCGCGCTCGGCGTTGCCATGCCTTTGGACGCCGAGTCGGCCATGGTCACATGCAGCCGCCACTGTGCCTCGATCAGCGTCGGGGCATGGTGCGAGCTCGCTTCAATCAGCGTTGCTTCGTACGCTGCTTGCTCATGGGACCAAACGTTGGCAAGGACGTCGCTTGTTGTCGAGGCAATCGAGAGGCGCTGCAGCTCTTGCGCAAACACAGACGGGGCCAGCCGACGCCGTCCCGCGGCTTGGAAGAGCGACTGCAACAGGGCCAAGAATGCGCCGACTTGATCGTGCGTCATGCCGCCAATCTCAGCGAGCTGGTGCTCTTCGTCCTTGGTGAAGGCTGTGGCCTAATGCAGCAGATACGGTGTGAAGTCGCTTGTGACGAGAAGGTCCGTACGGCAGGAGCGCGGAGGAGGCGCTGTGCGAGCAGCGGCAGCTTCTCCAAGGAGAAGGCGCTCAGTAAGGGGAGGGCTTCGACCGAGCTACACATACATCACCTTGGCTGATGTCGCGGGGCTGAGGTGATCGTACCGGGCGTCAAGGCTCACCAAGGTCGCGCTGCTCATGGTCCGCGATCTTTTTATCGTTTCCGTGGCCTGATTTGATGCACTGTTTTCAACAGGATATTCATTGATAGAGGTTATTCCGACCAGCCAAGGAGTGCTGCGATCTTGCCCTTGCCATCAACGTGTCATGATCAACCATGGGTATGCAACGACGCTCTAGTGCCAATGCCGACATGCTGGTCTTCGTACGCTATGGCTAGAGACGCAAACCTTCCAGTCTTGCATCTCATCGAAAACCACCAAGTTGCTGCGAAATCTCTGACAAGGCCACCGAGCTAGCGCTTGCCAGAAACCGAGCTAGCGCTTGCCAGAAGCGCTCATTAGGTGGTTCCGATCCAATGGATGGAGCTGGATCGTTAGGGCTGCTATGCAACGCATGGGGACCACTGGCGTGTCATAATGCCGAGACAAACGCTGCTGTGCCACAGGTTTGGCGATCGGCGAGTGATGTGGTGTATTTGTTTTTAGAGGTTTTGCAATGTTGTGTCAACTGCATGAAGATCCGTGGTCAGTTGCGATTCCGAACGAACGATAGCGAAGGTAGAGCATGCGGAGGCATGCAGGCGCTGAGGATGCTGCTGATAGATGAGCCCCAAGATGCTCCTCATGAACCCCGGCCCGATCGCCTTCGAGTCGGAAGTGCTCACAGCCTTTGCCCACGAGGGCATCTCGCACGTCGACCCGGCCTTTCTTGAAGTCTTTGGCCAGTGCCTCGAGCAGATGCGCCACGTAAGCCGACGTCTCGCTGCTCTCGCGTGCTCATGCTGCACGTAGATCTTCTTGGCCGACGATGGTCAGCCGCTCGTTGTCGCTGGCTCCGGCACCTTGGGCTGGGACATGGTTGGTGCCAACTTGATCGAAGCCGGTGACAACGCTCTCGTCATCAACACGGGTACGCGCACGTTGTATTATCGATCACGCTTGCTCATGCTATTGCAGGCTACTTTGGCGACTCGTTTGGCACGTGCCTGGAGCGTTATGGCGCCACGGTCACGCACGTGCGCGCGCCGGTAGATGCGATCATTGTTGCATCGATCGTTATGCTTTGTGATACGTAGGTTGGCTCGCGTCCGTCCATTGACGAACTCAAGGCGGCGCTTGCGGCGACGTCGTACAAGGTCATCACGATCACGCACGTCGATACGTCGACGGGCGTCCTCTCGTGCGCGGCCGAGTACACGGCCGCAATCCGCGCTGCGCAGCCCAACGCGATCGTGGTGCTCGACGGCGTCTGCTCGCTTGGCGGCGAAGAGCTGCGCATGAAGGCGTGGGACATTGACGTCGTCTTGACGGGGTCCCAAAAGTGCATTGGCGTGCCGGCGGGCTTGAGTCTCCTCATGCTGCGCCCGCGCGCGATCAAGGCGTTTGAAGCCATTGGCTACGCCAAGGGCGCGTACTACGTCGACTGGGCGCACTGGCTTCCGATCATGAAGAACTACGAGGCGCGCCGCCCGTCGTACTTTGCGACGCCGGCCGTCAACCACTTTTACGCGCTCCAGAAGGGCTTTGAGATCCTCTTGGCCAACGGTGGCATCGAGCAGCGCTTCATTGAGCAGCGCAACATGTCGCTCGCGATCAAGGGCGCGATCAAGGCGCTCGGCTGCGGCTTTGTGCCAGCGTCCGACTGCGCCGCCAACACGCTCACGTGCGTCCGGTACCCCAAGGGCGTCGCCGGCCCCGACTTTTTGCCGAAGGTCACGGCGCGCGGCGTCTCGCTCGCCGGCGGTCTCCACAAGGACATCAAGATGGAGTACTTTCGCATCGGCCACATGGGCCAGAGCACGCGCATCATGGAGCATGCGATCCGCACGATCAACGCGATCGAAGCGGCGCTCATCGAGTGCGGCCACGCGGTCCCGACCAAGGGCCAGGCCGCGGGCGTCACCAAGTCGGCGCTCAAGGCGACGCTGCCGATGACCAAGGCGGGTCACTGGCATTTTTCGGTACACCATCGATTTCACGTAAGGCTGGTACTCATATGATGCGTAGCCGTGCTGCGGTGGCGGTCGCAAGTGCCCCGTCCCGGTCAAGTGCCAGCTCTGGACGATTGGCCTCGTCGTGGCGGCCTTTGGCGCCGGCGTCGCGCTCGCGTCGCGCCGCAAGTAGCCACTTAGTTGCCTTGTTCATTCCAGCCTCAACAACAGTGGTGTGATGAGTACACGTTGGCCCATACACTACTACTGCTTCTCGGTAGTAGCTCTCGGTAGCATATTCCAACCCGCGCAGCCGACCCGATGCGCCTTTGTCAACTTCGTGCTCACGCCAGACAGCGACGCCCGATTACTGGAAGGGCCACTCTTGTCGTTGTTGCTTGGCCACAGGATAGTGTAATCGGAACCGATCACGGTCGGCGAGGAGCGAAGGTCGCCGTGTCGCTGATGGCCGGCGTAGCAGCACGCAGTGCACACAGACGTGGTCAGCGATGACGCAATGCGCGCGGCCTCGCCAGCCTCGAAGCCACGTAGAAAGGTCGGGCGTTGTTGAAGCTGCGGAAACCGATTACGCGATCCCCGCCCACGACGTCAGCAGAACGACGCCGTCTCGGATTTTAACAGCTCGGGCACCCTTCCGCCGTAGCTACGAGTCGCCGTTGTGGGCATCATCCGCTGCTACATGGCGCCAAGTCGACGGAGTCAGAGACGCACGCGTGTCGGCGGCTGCGATGCTTCTTACGCCATCAACGGGATGTGACATCAGTGTTGAGGTGCGCGAACTTGTGCCGCATACAGCGCAGGTATTAAATTATCCACCGTTCGACTGTCAGTTTGTATAACCTTTAAAAGATTGCGCTCCGGTTACGATAGCGTACCCATTTCCATCATCAAGACGCGTGACGTGATCATACGCTCACACTTGGGGTTTGTATACATCACATTCGGGCGTCGGGGGCTGTGATTCGCGGGTTTAAAAAACCGTCGCTTCAGATCTACGAATTAGGGTCTAATTCGTGCACGCAATAAAAATGCAATTCGCAATTCCTGCACAGACATGACCCGTGTTTACGACGACGTAAGTGGGTCCTCAACGTTGGCTGCTGCAACGCAGCTGGCCCAAAGAACACAAACCGACTCATGGCTGAGACGTCCCACACACCCGGCAGCAGCAGCGAGAGCAGCGGCGACGAGCGCGCACTCGTGGCCGAGGCCAACGCCTTGACCGCGCAGCTGGCGCTCCTCCAGCGCAACCCGCGCAAGCGCAAGATTCCATGGCGCGACGTGGCCATCGCGCAGGCGAACGAGCTGCAGATGGTACTGCATGAGAACAAGCGACTGAAAGAAGCGCTCTCGGAGCACACGCGTATGGCCCACGCGCTGCAAAAGGCAATGGTCCAAGCCCAAGAGGTAGTCTGCGGACGACGACGACGAGGCCGCTCATACTACGACACTAGTTTCAGCTCGAAGAATGGAAGTGCCATCGCCTCCCGTCCGACAGCGCCCGCTGGAAGGATGGCCTGCAGAAGATGCTCGCCGAAGACCACGACCATACCAACTCGCATCTGATTCGACATGGGCTCTGCGACGCGGTCTCTGAAGTCGAGAGCACGCAGGTGCGCCGCCACGCGGATGGGTCTGTGGCCGCCATCGACAAGTTGACGCACGTCTATTTTCCGCACGAATCGATCGCGAGCCTCGCCAAGGTGTGCACAGAGCTGCTCACGACCGAGGTCGGGCGCGCAACCATCATTAGCGGTACGCAGTGGCAACGACTCCAGCCCATCGACTCGTCGCTTGTCGACGACGAAGGCATCTTGTATCTCTCGGGCGACGCCAAAGTACCCACGGGCCCGTCCCACGGACTGCACGGCCACATTGCCATCCAGCGCTTTGTCGAGCCGGCGCGCGTCGTCTTTGTCTTCCGGAGCGTGTTGGAGGACCAGCGGTACCCGCTCGAGTACGGCAACGTGCCCAAGTACGCCCACAACGAAGTCGGCTGGCTCGTCATGGAGCCCAGCCGGCGCCAGCGCGGCGTGTCGGTCAAGAGCATCGTCACGTGCACGCCCAACTTGTACACCCCGCCCATGTGCCCCTTTGCTGCGCGCGGGGCGCCCCCAATTCTCCAGCCACTCATGCGCGGCTGCGTCAACATGTATCGCCAGCCCAACCGGAGTGTGACCGAGCTCCTCGTACGCGGCCTCGTCGAGAAGAATGCCAGTTTTGATGCGGCCAACCCGCAGAGCGGCGTCTCTGGTGTCGACTTTGCGTCCCCACCCACGATCCACATAGCTATATAGACGGATCGTGTCGTCATCCATAAGTTAACACCGCGTCGTACAAATGCCTCCGACTCTTAGAAAAACGAGCTCGTATACGGCGTCGCCATCTCTGGTCGATGGTTGTCGTCGACAGAGAGCTGTCGTGCGTGCAGGATACGCGGACAGAAGACGACCAACCGCGATTGTAGTAATCATGTCCCTTGGCTTTGCAGAGAAGGGGACACGCACGTCATGCTTGGCGCTTGCGAAGCGAAAGCGAACCATATCAGCCTGCTTACACCGCTAGTGTCTTGGGCTATCCCGCCCGTCATCAACGCGATGCCGTGCACTAAGCTTAGTACGCGGCAAGGGTTCTACTTGCCACTTAGCTCAAGATTGAAGTTGCAGAGTTATGATTGGCGTTCAGTCACGATATGATTGGGTGAATTGAATGACACACCACGTAAGCTGAATCGCGCTGCAAGTCCTACGTAGGAGCAGCGAAGGTCTTACAGGGGCACCACCTGGAGCACTTGCTTGGCCCGAGACAGATAAAGACATATCAAACGAGGCATCTCGGGGCTCGTGTCTGAGAAGAAGACGACACAGCACCGTCTAAGGTAGGAAAGGGTGCCAGGATAATGCTCCTCGATGATGCTCGTTGGGTCGCGTCTGTTGGTAGCATGATCTTTTGGCGGCGACTTGGTTCGAAATTCGCCACAACATATCGCAAGACTTCGTAATACTTCGTACAGTGAGCTACCACCCCTGTTGGCAAAACGCAAGGGGCTCGGTAACGCGTGCTTGCAAGAAGTTCCGCACGTCTGTATTGCGCTACGTACCAAAGATCGTTCCTGCGCGTGATCACGTACGATTACGTTTTACCTGCATGCACGACGGCGGGTCGTTGCGTTGGCTGCCACGTCGCACACATGCTGGCCGTCTTCCAGGGCGACTTGTACGGGGTCCTTGACGATCAAGCATCGAATTGCCCGGCGATAGGAAGCAAGATCACCGATTGGACTCGTTTCACTCAAATTTGTTTCCTTCCAGTCGCATGCAGAGCGTCGGAAGAGTCGTAGAGCAAGTAGGTCCAAGGACATTGCCTAAGGACGTGCGTCAATCGACGTGTGGATCGTAATCATACACTCGACGCTCGTCGATTGCGAACGCAAGGTTGACGCGCCAACAACTACGACCCAAGAGTACGACCCCGAACCGTTCGATTTCTCAACTAAGTTCCGTCCAAACAAAGTCCATCGCAGTACTAGTACTGCGGAACCCGCCACGCTCGCATGTCGATTCATGTATCACCGCGCGGTCAAAACGACGCGCGAGATTTAACCTCCTGGATGTATTGCATCATGCCGAACCAACAAGGCCCTAGAGTCTACACTGTTGTCGTACAAGAGAGTGCGATCTTAGACCGCGCGTGTTGGCGAACGAAGTTGGACGAAGAGACGTGACTTTGTCGATTCACAGTACGCTGCGGCGCGCTTGGAGAACGTCTACCTACCATCGCGGGTTCAATGGAAGAGAAAAATTAGTTGCTTATGAATCGAAGAAGGCAACCACCTTTCAGTGCGCGTGTCCTCCCCTCTGGACGTGCCGAGCGACATCACAGCGGACGCGGATAAAATATTGAACAAGGAATATAAAAAAAGGTTCGAGTTTCTCTTCGAAGTACACCAGTACCTGGAGTTAGAGACCATCGCCATTCAGGGCCGTGTTCCTCCCACTACCAAGAGCGAGTGCTTTTCCCTGCTCTGTTATCCAGCCTGAGGCGTTGCACACTTCCTTAGAAACCTCGGACAGCGATCCATCCGGATACTGCCCAATGTTTACTCCTGGTTTGGGATGGGCGACCCCTCCACATGGCGTGGATAGATCCCTGACTACAGTGACATACCCCTTGAAGAACTCTACCCAGCCAGAAGCTTGCTGTTACAAGTTGCCGCCACGCAACCCGGTGACGATAGAGATGTAAGCATGGGTACCAATGATATTTTATGAGACCCACATCGAACCTCTCTGCCGTCACTAGTTTTATTCTACATTTTAAAAATGCTATTATCTCCTCAGAAAGCACTTCGTCGTACTGATGGTTGGTGAGAGACTGCATTGGAGACAAATTGGTGCTCGCAAAATATATATTGGGCTTTACGAAACGGTCATTCCACTCCGGCGCCGGAAACAAGACGACTTTTCCTGCTACGCTGGGAGAACTGGATTGAGCCATCTACAAAGGCAAAAAACATGGTCAGGACAAACACTAGCATGTGCGCACAATACATAAATACTCGTATTTCATATGCGATACTGTTGTAGCTCGTGCTTGGGTGCTCATCAGTTGTATCTAAGAATCAAATGTGCTCCGTTGACCACAACAAAAATTAACTAAGCTTAGCCGCATACGTCACGCCAGGTCACTGGTATTTTACACCTTTTCAAGCGGCACTACCGTTTCGATTTTATTCTGCAAAGGTATTCGTTCAACGGGGTTGCACGCCAGGAAATTCCAAGCTGCCAACCAAACTTCAGGATATCAATATGTACTTGAGATCGCGGCTCAGCGTGCGAACCTTGCCCAGGCACCACGTGCAATCTGCTGCATAGCGTCTCGACACGCTGAACACCGGTAGTGGTGCGTTCTCGTCGTTGCGCTGCGTCAATCGGCAGCCGGTGACGAAAGACTCGGTTCTTGGTCAGGCCGGCAAAGCAGCAGTGTTCCGGTATGCTGGATCCCAGTGAGACCCCTTCTTCTTCAGCCCTCTTAACAGGATCCAAAGCTGCAATAGATACTGTAGTACATTACACTCTTCGGTCCATTAACCCATGGCGGGGGGTTCGCACCCGGGGAACAGCGTCGCGAACGTCAACGCCTCGAGCGCTTCTTGGTTGCGAGTAAAGATCTGCAAAACATACTGCGAGAGACTCTGGTCCGGCGCATCGCTCTCGTCACTGCTGCTGCAGTTGTCGCCTTCCCCCGGGGCATGCCGGTGCTTGTACGGGAATTGAATGTACTCGGCCAACCGAATGAGTGTCGACGCGCCTCGTTCCGCCGGCTCCATTGTCATCCTATGCATCTGGTCAATACATATCCCTGAAGGACACAATGGCTTCCATACCACTGGCTCGAGTCGCCCGTCGAAATGGCGTGGGTGCTCGGCGCGTCGTTCCCGATCGTTCGCATCACGATCGAGACGCGGTCACCGTCCGCGTACCGCCCGATGCAATAGTTGGTGCGCATGTCGGGTATACCGGGGCAAAATGCGACAAATTGCATGTAAATCACGTCCTCATCGACGCGCTCGAGTCGCTACACAATGTGAGCCGGCCACCTTATTCATATTGTACGGACCTTCATCATAAAGCTGGGCATGACCACAGGCGTCTCGAGCTGTAAGAAATCCCAGATCGACGCGGCGGTGGCGGCAACGGGGCGTGGGGCGACCATCGCGCCCACGTGCGTAAGAAGCAGGCGGTTGAAAGCGTCTTCGTTTATGATTTCTGTTTTCCGATATGGCACTGCCACGTCGACCATGCCGTATTGCACGAACGCCGACTCGAGCTTGGCGTACTGCGCATTCAGGAGCGCCCGCATGCTCGCAGCCCGCGCGATTGGGTCCATGCTGAGCTGACACGGCACGTAGACATCGTCGCAGAGCGCCTCGACCTACAAGCCATGTCATGTCCTGCGAAGGTTTGCGGAGCACCTTTGTTTTCTTGGCAAATATCTTTTGCAGGCTTTGGGCCAAATGGAGCTGCTCTTCCAGCGCCTCCTTGAGCCGTTGGTTCTTCTGGATTGCGACTTGAGCTTCCTCGGCCTGACGCCGCGCGATGTGCTCCCACTTGGAGCCGGCGACGAGGTCGAACTTCTTGGTTTCGAGCACCGAGAGCTGCGAGGTGAGCTCCGCGACCGTCGCCTGCAGGTAGCGCATCTCGTCTGCGTGGCGCTTCCGAATGCGCTTCTTGGGCTTAATCGGCGCGTCATTCGAGAGCGGCAGAAATAGAAGGTCCTCGACGTCGCAGAGGTCGGTCGTATCGTAGAACGCGAGGTCGTCCAACTCGATGGCGTCCATCGTCGCGCTTCACAATTATGACACTGGCGGTGTTGACGCCGCCGGCGAGCCAATCATCGCCGAGAATTTCCGCTCCATACAACCTGGCCGCACCTCGGTGATGGCCGTTGATCGAGGTTGCGGCAAACCGCCACGAGCTATGCATGACATTGCACGGTGCATTCGGCTTCGTAGCGTTGTGGGCAGCGTGTGGCGCACGATATACGAGCGCAGTGGTGTCGCGCGTTGGAGGTGGCAGGTAGATGTGGTAATTGTGGCGATCACGACAAACAAGACGAATAGAACCGAGCCGATTCGCTGTTAAAAAAACGCCAGCGCATACGCGACTCGCACACCTGCAGTGACATGGACGGCGCCGACGCCCAGCTTCTCCAAGATCTGGCCGAGGTCGACTTCCTCCTTTGTCTTCCGGCACAGCGCTGCGGCGATGGCCCCTATCAGGGTGCATCGGGCTGCGGTAGCACTGTAGCATCTTGCAGCTCGACGCCGTCGAGCGTCCGAACATCGTCCTCCTCTTGCTGCTCGACGCCGTCGCTGGCACCCTCGTGCACGCCAGCGCCATCGTGCTGCTCTGCGTCATCATGCGCCCCCGTTGCACCGTCTTGCTGCGCACCCGCCCCCAAAAGCACGCGACGCGTATCCAAGCCAATGGCATCATCCGCGCGTTGCACCTCGTCGTCCGCGAGCACAACCTCGTGCAGCGACGCGGTGACGTCGTGCAGCGATACATCGAGTTGTTGTAGCAGCTCTCCGCGCGGTGCGCAAGCTGCCACGTGTTGCAGTGGGGGTGCGCCTAGCAATCTCTCAAAGAAGGAGAAGCGGCTGGCCGACCGTGCGCAGCGATGCAAGCGCGACCGCGCCAAGCTCAAGGACGAAATGGCCGACCTGAAACGAACGGTGGGCGATCTCTCGGAGCGCGTCTCGACGCTTCGGACGCTGCAGTGCATCGAGCGCGACTTTTCGACACCGGCGTCGTGGGAAGCCGCCGCGCTTGCGCAGAGTGCGCAGCACCGACAGGCGCTTCGCGACAACGAGAGCCTCCGCGCCGTTTTGTACGAGCACTTGGCGCTCGCGGACGAGCTCCAGCGCCTCATTACAAAGCGACCCCGCCTCGCTTCGGTATCTCTCGTTTCCCACGATAATGTCCCGCATCAACCGTCCCACGATAGGCGTGTGGCAGCAGTCCCGTCGAGCGCGATGCGTGGCGTCTCGAACCGAGCGAGACAGCCGCCGAGTTGCATGCGCTGGTCGACAACGAGTACGACCGACTCGAGGCCGTGCTCGTCAAGAATGGCCTCGACACCAAGAGTTCTGCGTGCGCTCCGGCGCTGCGCTGCTGCTGCGACCCGCTGAGCAACGCCAAAGCCATCGAAATGGTGCGCAGCTATGCCGTCGCCGTGCCATGGACGACGCTTGCGGACGCCGTCTGGCGTATCTGGAGCGGTGGCGTCGACTATTCCCAGCAACCCGGTGCCCTCTACCAGGTACACCAGTAGACCGTGATGTTATTTGACTGGATGATGATGATAATGATGAAATATGCAGTGCGGCGAGCTGCTCGATGCCAACGCCGCGTACGTGGCGTTTAGCGCCAACCTCTCGCCCGACGCGACCGCGCCCATCTCAGTCCAGGGCAACCTCGTCGTCAAGCGCTACGTCGAGGCCGACCGCATCGTGTTCGTGTGGCGGTACCAACGAGCAAGCGTCATTTTTCAAATGCTCATGGACGCGTGTTAGCTCCGTGGCCAGAGACGCGGGCGTGGCGACGGGCGGGGCCATTGCCGACAACGAGTGTGGCTGGTAGACTCTGCACCCTTCCGCCATTTCGTGGACAGCTCAGAGTGCGTAGGCTGCTCGTCGAACCCTCCGACACGAACGAAGCGCGCGTCAAGCTCGTGCTCACGTCCAAGCTCTCGGTCGAGCACGAGGCAATTCCAGACAGCGTCGACGACACCCTCGCAGACGCCATGACGCTGCAGTGTCATCTCAAAAGCACGACAAAGCGAGAGGTCAAGTTCATGCGTCTCTGGGCCCAGTATTTTGAGCGCACGTGGGATGCCATGGTCGCGCTCGCGGTTGCCCGCGCCTAATCCATCGAGCATGTTGGATCATTATAGGATTAATCGAAACAAGCTACGGGTATTGCAAGACATTTTGTCGATTTTAGGGTTGTAAACACTAGGTTATGCAAGTGCTCCATTTGGGGTTGGGGTTGCCGTCGCAACTCCTGCCACGACACTTGTCGACATCACCGCAGTACCTACGTCATGACGTTCGTCGCAACATGGCTTGTCTCGGCAGCGAGTAAACGCTCCGATTACCGAAAAGCCGGTCATTAGCCGCCCAGTAAACCACTGGATTACGATCAACCCGTGACGCGGTCCTGATGACCACCGCCCAAGGTCGCGCCGCGGCCATGCCTTCAGCGTTCGGAGCAGCGAGACGACAAGTTGTCCGTGTTGCGTTGCTACGACTAAGAACGTTAATACATATATACTACTTTAATTGAGGTGTCGTCGGAGCACTTGGGCCTGCGAGGCGAAGGTGCATGGCGCAGAGGCCCTGTCGCCGACACGGACGGGCGCACGAATCAACTGAACAGCGCTTGCCGCCTCCGTGCGTCGCGCAGAGGCCGCCACCGCGGTCGTTGCGCATGCAGCCGAGCACGACGCAGAGCCGCGAGCCGCCGTGGAGCGTACAAAACTGGCCGCGCTGGGCGCCTTTCTCACAGCCCTCGACGGAGCATCGCTTGCCACCGCCATGCGATCGGCAGTGGCCGCCTCCTTGGGAGCTTCGTTGGCAGTTGGGCGCTGCGCAGCGCGGGCCGCCGCCATGGGCTTTGCACAGCATCGCCGACTGGGCCGCTTTGTTGCACCCTTGGATCTTGCAGCGCTTGCCACCGCCATGCTTGATGCAAAAGTTGCCACCTTGGCTCGACCGCGGGCAGCCGTCGGCGGCGCAGCGACGCCCGCCTCCGTGCGCGATGCACAAACCGTGGGAGCGCGATCGCTTCTCGCAGCCGGTCGCTCGACAGAGGCGCCGGCTCTTGGTCGCGTCTAAATCCAGGAAGTCCAGTGGCGTCGCGGGGCCCAGAAGGTCGGCCTCGTTGATGGACTCGTCGTCGCCCGAGGTCATGTCGAGGAGCACATCGAGGGGCACTGCCGCATGCGCCGGTGGCAACAGGTGCGGAAGGAGGCGATGCATCGTGTGTTGTGGAAGCCAACAAAATAAAAATACAGGGCTACGTAAACGCGCGTGGTTGAAGCTTGCGGATAACGACGTTTGCGTTCATCACCGATCAGCGACAGCCAGTGCGGGCATGTATCACTGAGACGAGCGACCTCTCTCGCGTCGACCTTCGTGTGCGTTCGCCGGCGCTAGAGACGCGCCCGTCGATCGCGATGGACCAGCATGGAGGTCCTCGAATAACATGTTCTGCTTGATCGTCCGACCCTGCACGCTCTACGCTCTTAACCCCGACCGTGTACGCTCTACGATCTTAACCCCGACCCTGCTTCAAGAGGGTGACAATAATGTCATAGATATATCGAACCAAGCTTCTAATTTCTATTTTTAGATTCGACTTCAACACGTAATGGCGATGACGTAGTGAAGCGGACAACGCAATAGAATGACATCCAAGACGATCGGCGTCGAATATGGAGGGACTCGAGCACATGGACGCGTCGTAGCTTCCTGCATCCATGTGGCCCTTTGAGACAGCGAAGCGCATATTCGCGGCGCGAGATTAATGTCCATAGCTGCAGTCCTTTGCCTCGTCCATTGTGGAAGTCGTTCATATTTGCACTGTGTCATGGGCGACCAAGTACATGTGGTTCAACCCCCACGTGAACAGGAGACGACAATCAAGCAAGTACCTTGGCTCGGGTGCACGGTCTTCTCTTCTGGCGCACGGTGGACAGCGCTTTCTCGACCTCAGGGTTGATAGGCGAATCCCGTGGTCCAAAGATGACGCAATCCCGACTTGAACTTGAATTCGAGCGCGTGTGATTGGCTCGATCGGCGCGATCGACACTTGGCGCGCCATCTCGTGGTGGTCCATGACGGCAGCTGCCACCGGTAATTGCGATGACGTAGCGCTGCCACCCACGCAACCTCTTGGCGTCTTCACCGCTGGACGCTGGTACGTATTAGCATCTTTCGAATTACGATGAAAACCACAAGCGCCACTCTGAACCCGTCGCTGCCGCCGCCACGTCACACCGTCGTGCTTCTCTCGACCGGCGCGGCCTTTGGTTTTGCCATGAACAAGGTAATTTGGCGCGTTCGTCGACCTTCTAAGGGAATATTCAAAATAGGGCCAAGTGTACCTTCCGCTCGTCATCATGGAGCAAATGGGCTTTCAGCGGTTCACGATGATGAAGATGTTTGTCGGCGCGCTGGGCATGTCGTTTGTGTCGAAAGCAATATTTCGCATCTTGCAACCCGAGACGTTCCAGCGTATGCAAGCCAGCCGTGCAAGCAACCCGAGCACGTCGACCGTGCTCGTGCTCGGCGGCGTCCTTCTCGGTGCGGGCATGACCGTTAGCGGCTCGTGCCCCGGGTCGGTGTACGTCCAGCTCGGCGCACAGCTGCCGTCGGCGCTTGCGTGCCTCGCGGGTACTGCACTCGGCACGTTTGTCGCCGGCACCCTTCGCTTCCGCGTACGTGTCGCTTGAGTCTACCAACTCCCCAACTCATGCTTTTCTGTCTTCTGTAGATCGCGGATTGGCAAGCCGACAAGCCCAAGGTAGCGACGACAATGCCCTTTGGCCCGTTGTCGCAGGCGCTTCTCGGCCTGACGTGTCTCTCTCTGGCAACCCTTCTCGAAGTTGTTGTCCCTGAACACCTGTCCATCGAGTCGTGGCGCCCGAGCGTGGCCGGCGCGGTGGTGGGCGCGCTCCAGCTGCCCATGGCGCTTCTTCTCCACAAGTCGCTCGGCGCCTCGGCCGGCATGAAGATTGCGCTCGGCGAAGTCTCAAGCGTTGTCTGCAGCGCGATGGGCAAGTCGACAGTGTCGTGGCTGCCCCGCTTCTCGGACATATCGCAAGCGATCTTTATTCTTGGGATTCTCGCCGGGTCCTATGCTGCGACGTCGCCGGAAGCAGCTGCCGTCTACGCACCGAGCACGCTCCGCTCGATTATCGGCGGCGCGCTCATTGCGTTTGGTGCGAGCCTCGCCGGCGGGTGCACATCCGGCCACGGCCTCTCGGGCACCGCCATGCTAATGAGCTCGTCCTGGCTCGTGCTCCCGTCCATTTTTCTCGGCGGCATGTCGACGGCTGCGCTCGAGTATGTTCTCTAACTGTCATTCGTTCAAGTCCATTTCGTACAAACTACTATCCATCGTCTGCATCACATGCGTTGCCCCACATACCACTCGACTAGAGTACCAGCTCTACCTCGGCGGTGGCCAAGGTTCGACTTCGAATGGTTGTGGCCATTCACCGGCGTCGGCGATCTCGAGGCTCTTCTACATGCACGTGACTCTCTGTGACGCCATCGCGCCGTCGTGCGCGCCACGGTGCCAAAGCGTCGAAGTAATCGCGCTGGCTGGGTGCCCTACACTGTACGCTCGTGTGTGTTGCAGTGCAACGTCGCCACGGGGTGTACTGCAACGCCAAGGACATGTACTGTACGGAGCCAAGACCAGGTCGAAGTGCGACGCTGGGCCAGCATTGGGGCTTCGAGCGATGGCCGTTGAAAGCATTGGCAGCGACGGGAGCGATGTCAGCGAGGTGGGGTGGATTGTCAACTTGATCTCGAGGCTTACGGTATTTGTATTGAGGGCGTGGTTGGTAACGGAGCGCTGCTTATACTAAAATCCGCTCTAAAAATGGCACATCGCCATAATTAAGCGAGAATTGGCAAAGATGCAGCGTGCGACGCCATAATTAGCGCCGCGCGGACATGTATCCGGATAGTCAAGGACTGAATACAAAGACGTCCCGTAACGCAATTGCAAAGAGAGCCCCGAAGACCAAGGTCATGACGGACGAGGTCGGCCAGCGCATGGAGCAGCTCAAGCTGCGGCTCGCAAACCAGACCAACGGGGGCGCGCCCGGCCGACAGCCTCAAGGCCGATCGCCCATCTACGACTACAACCATGCGCGCCAGTCGCCGGCGCAACAGCAACCTCAGCAGCAGCATGCGCCACCGCGGCCGCAGCAGCCACAGCACCAGTACGTTGCGCCTCAGCAATACCAGCAACCGCCGTCACATCAGCAACACTACCGCCACCCGCCGCCGACGCACCAGCAGCAGCAGTACCACCAGGCGCCACCGAACCACCAGCACGCGCCACCGCACCATCGTCAAGCACCGCCTACGCACCAGCAGCAGTACCACCAGACGCCGCCGACGCACCAGCAGTACTACCAGCAAGAGCCGCCGTCGCAAGCACACCATGAGTACCAGCAACCGCCATCACATCAACCGGCGCACAGCCGGCAGCCACCGCCGGCGCCGCACGCAACGTCTCGGCACGCCCGACCAAATGCGACGGCGCCGCCACCGACTGTGCAAGACTTGCAACATCGGCTACGTGCCCAACGGCAGCAGCTCGAGGCCGGCAGTGGCCGCGACTCGCACCGCCACGGGCAGATGCAGCAACAGCTGCAGCCGTACCCGCAACAACCACAACAACAACAGCCCTACGCCGAACCGGCATTTGCGCCACCGCAGCGACACAAGGTCCCGTCCTCGTACGCCTCGTCGACAACGTCGTCGTCGTTCAGCGAGTACAGCGAGCCGTCGACGGTCGGCGGCCGGCAGAGCTACCGCCACGACGAGCGCAAGCGGCGGGCGTCGCTGACCAACACGGACATCTCGGAAGAGTGCGACGAAGAGTTCGATGTGCGCATGATGCCGCCGCGTCGGCGGAACGAGTACGACTTCAACTGGGAAGGCGGGTCGCTCGGCCTCGTGCTCGTCGAGGACCCAGCGAACCGGATGCCGATCGTGAAGCGCGTCTCGTCCAACGTCTCGGCGGCCGCGCGCGTCGTCAAGGAAGGCGACACGCTGCTCTACATCAACGCGAACGCGACGCGCGAGTTTAAAATGCCGGCGCTAATGGGCATGCTCAAGGACCTCAAGAAGCCGCTCATCATGCGCTTCAAGCGTGCGGGCACCGACGCGGAGGCGGTCAAGTCCGGCCCGGTCTTGCCGCCAGTGCTCGAAGGCGAGTACGAATTTTACTGGGAAGAAGGCAGCCTCGGGATGACGATGGGCGTCACGTCGGCGGAGCTGCCGTACGTCAAGCGGCTCACGGGTCGCGGGCACTCGCCGCACCTCAAGCTCGTGCATCCCGGCGACGAGCTCATCATGATCAATGACCGTGTGTGCGCCGACCTTGGGTTTGAAAAGGCCATGGAAGTCATCAAGTCGGTGCCCAAGCCCGCGACGCTGCGCTTCCGCCTCGCGCGCGCCGACGCGACGTACGACGACACGGTCTCCCAGCGAAGCTCGGTCGCCCCGCCTGCCCTCACTCTCGACGAAGCCAGCATGTACGCTGTCACGTGGAGCGACGGTCCGTTCGGGCTCACGGTCAAGGAGCTCACGACCGACAAGGGCCCCGTGCCTGTTGTGACGCGCAAGACGGGCCGGAGCACGTGTGCGGGCCTGCGCCGCGTTGCTGTCGGCGACGTCCTTGTCGAAATTGGCTCGATGAAGGCCGTGGACCTCGGCTTTGACAACACAACCAAGGTGCTGCGCAACATCGCCAAGCCCGTCATGCTGCGATTCCAAGCGGTCGCCGAGTAAAGAGCGCAGAGACTACTCGACTTCATACCCCACCCACTAGACCAAAACTCATTTTTAAGGCTACTCAACGACCCGGATGCCACCACCGATGAGCGACGCAAGCTGGATGGAGGAGGACGTAATGGAGTATAGCGCCACAACCTTCACCTTGGCAGAGTACCTCCTCGCTACGAGTACTAGTTGGTGTTCTGCTCGATTCGGACGGCGCATCTGTACTAAAATGGCACCGGTGCATGTACGAGTCGCCGTGTCGTGCTCGTGTCTCTGACTTTGCACACGTCAATGACACGGTACGGTACGTATACCTGGGTACTAGACGCCGCCTGTTCCACGCGTGTAAGCTCGATCACGTATCGCCAAAGATGACGCAACGACCATGTTAGCAGCACCAACTGTGATGAGGAGGATGTCCTGGACGACCAGGAGATGTGCGTGCGCGCGGGCATCGATCGACGGTTGGCACTATGCCACGAGGCTACTAGCAGCATGTGGATTGCGGCTGTCGTAGCATGTAGACAGGCCTTCCTGGTCATCCCGGTTGACGAAACCAAGTAGAACTGTAGTTCGATCGCGAGCGCCCACAGTGTCTATTTGGTGTCTTTTTTTTCACATCAAAAATGCACTCGCGCATTTTCAAAATGGACGCGAATTTGATGGAGTCGGATCGTCTCAAGACCGGTAGCGAGACCTCGACGTCGGTCGGTCGCCGCGTCGTGTCGGGCGTCACCGTCCTCTCGACCGGTCTCGTCTTTGGCTTTGCGATGAACAAGGCCCAAGTCTATTTGCCGTTTGTCATTATGGACCAAATGGCCTTTCAGCGCTTTACGATGATGAAGCTCTTCATGGCCGCGCTTGGCACGTCGCTCATCGCCAAGGCCATCTTCCGCATCGCGCAGCCCAGCGAGTTTGAAAAGATGCAAGCCGCGCGCGCGTCCAGCCCGAGCACCTCGACCGTCCTCGTCGTCGGTGCGACGATCCTCGGCGCGGGCATGACCATCAGCGGCTCGTGCCCCGGCACGGTGTACGTCCAGCTCGGCGCCCAGATCGCGTCGGCACCCGCGTGCTTTGGTGGCACCGTCATTGGTACTCTGTTGGCTATGATCCTCCGCGCGCCGGTACACCACCTTTCGCACTTCTTTCTTGTGCTAAGTTTACATTCTGCAGATTGCCAAGTGGGAAGCGACCCGGTCCAAGATCTCGTCGACGCTGCCGGTGAGCCCGCTCCTGCAGACGCTCCTCGGCGTGGCCTGCGTCGGGTTTTCAGTCGCCTTGGAGTTTATTGTGCGTGAGCCGGTCGCGCTCTCGGCGTGGTACCCGTGCATTGCTGGTGCAGTCGTCGGTGCGCTCCAGCTGCCGCTGGCGTTCATCGTGCGCAAGTCGCTCGGTGTCTCGGCCGCTATGAAGTATATCCTCGGCGAGGCCGTCGCCGGCCTCTCGCACGTCGTCGGCAACCCGTCGTGGCTCTCGCTCCCGCGCTCGAGCGCGGCGCTTCAAGTGCTCTTTGCACTCGGTATTGTCGGCGGGTCGCTCATCTCTGGCACGCCACTCGAAGCCGCGGGGCCGATGCCGTCGACGCTACCCTCGATCATTGGTGGCGTCATGATTGCGTTTGGTGCGAGCACTGCGTGCGGCTGCACGTCCGGCCACGGCTTCTCTGGCACGGCAATGCTCATGGCCTCGTCCTGGCTTGTCGTGCCCTTCATCTTTGCCGGTGGCATGGGCACGGCAGGCATTAAGTACTTGCTCGGCCTGTAGATCGTACTATCGATGTAGAACCTGTGTGGAACTATAATACAGTGTATATGCAACTAGTCGTTTGTCGTCCTAGCTACCGGTAATTGTAGTGGGTCGTCGATGCGTCCTCGCTGGCGGCGCCTTGGCTCCAGGAAAGCGCGCCAATTTCAGTCCGTGACGGCGTCTGATTGGCTGAAAATTTCGAACGGCTCTATTTTCTGAGCGTCAGTGTTGGCTGCCTCTGCCCGTCTATGCAGCCGCCACACACACGACCGTTCGATTTGGGTCTGCCCTCGCGCATCGCACGAGCTTCGCACCGTGTCTCTATGATCGGGGCTGGCCCTATCACTACTGAGTATACACCAGCACCCGCAGTTGGGTGATTGCCAGCTCCTTCTTGGATGCTTTCGGGCGCTTGTCGTTGCGGCAGCTCGTTGCGGCTTCAAGCCATGAGGTCGTCTCCACGGCCTTGTCTATTGAGTAAGAGCTGCTTACACTACTGCAGTCCAGACGATCGCACCATCAAGAGGACTAGTTTCCGCTGGAAAATACGCAATGACGATGCATGCTGATGTTAAATATACAATCCCTTCCTCGACCGCGCCGAGGCAGCCCCGCTTAGAGACGATTGAGGTACGAGAGGTCGATGGGATCCCGGCGGTGTCCTCGGGTCGGCACACGGCCAGGCGTCGTGCCTACGCGTCAGGTGTGAGCTTTCGTGTACAAAGCACGGGTGCGTACATTGCTGCGACACACTGGACGTGGACGAGCGCGTGTACACTTGCGCGTGCTGGGGCGTCATGCGCCGGAGTGGACGTCCGTCGTCGTTCTTCTCGGCGCACACGAGGCATTGGCGCGGCTCGCTGTTGGGGCGACAGCACTCGGCACAGGCCGTCTGCACTCGATGGTCAATGTCGTCGCTTGCAAGTATTTTGTACCTTTTTACACGTGGCGCACGTCGTTGGCGCGCCGGCGCGAAGCAGCGTGCGGCACACAAAGCACTCGGCAGGCATCGCGAGGTTCCAGTCCATTTCCTTGGCCTGGCGCAGCGACCACGAGCTTTGGGCCGACCCGAACGAGCGCTCTTCCGGTCCCGCGGGCTCGGACATTGTCGTTGAGTAGCGTTGCTTCATGATCGTCTTCAAGCTTGTAATGCGCGGTTGGGGCTCGCTGAGCTTTCGGCATTCGCGAAAGTAACGCAGCGCGGGGCTGTCTTGCACGATGGAGCTCAAATGCTCTTCGAGTAGGTGAATCTACCCATTCAGTCGGATGTGTGTTGCAACGCGGATGATGCTTACCGTGCGCATTTGCTTTGCCAAGATCATCTTGCGGACCCACGACGACAAGTGGCCGCCAAAGTCGACGTCGAGAATCACAAAAAAGTCGACGACGCCGGGCACGACGCTCTCGAGCGCCACAAAGCCCGACGTGCGAGCCGTCGCGCGGACATACCCCGGGACGCTCGGGCACGATGAGTGCTCGACGGACTGGATGCAGCGCGCCCAGCCGCGGCGGCCTTGGTCGTCGACAAACTCGTCAAAGTACTAGTTGGACAAGAGTCAGCATGGCGCCAGAAACACACACACACTGCTATATACCTCGAGCACAAAGAGATCGCGGGGACGGCAGAGCACCGGCGTTGCGTACGCGTTCCAGCGCAGACCCATGTACCGGTTCGGGTGGTTGGGCGTCCGCGGCACGAGGTTGTAGATAGGCTTGGTGCTGTCGTACCGCATCTGGTTGCAGTACTGCTCGGGCTTGTCGAGCGTCCCGAGGTAGAAGGCCGAGACGTCATCGAGCGCGCCCGGCATCGACACACGCGCCTGCGTGAGCGTCGACTTGGGCTGTCCACGGTCGCCGACGCGGTCGATGACGACGACATTGCCTTTCGCGACGAGCTTGATCGACTGCACGAGGAGGCTCATGGCGTGCGTCGCCTGGGCGCGGAAGTGCGCGCGGTCCGCGGCCGTGAGCGGGCGCGGCGTGAACTCGGGTAGCGCCATGCTTTTGTAATACTAGGGACAAACGAGGTGTGCTGACGACGACGTCGTCGTCTACCGGTACCGGTATCGGCCGTTCTTCAGTCGTGATTTGGATACTCCTCGCTTTGTCGCTGCCTAAGTTTGGGCGCGTAATTCAATCCATTTTGGCACAATATATCGGCGTATTTTAATGCAATAGTGCATACAAATGAGCTTGCGATTATCCAATATAGCGCATATTAATATACGTGCAATATGGGTGTGTTGGCCTGCAAGCCAAATACAGGCGCAGATTGCACTTTCTTGTCAGGTGACTGTCCCACGCATTTGGCGCCATAGAATCGAGATCGGAGGCAACAGTACTCGCACGGAAGAGCGCCATTGTGTCGTGTGCGCTGGCGTCAGACCCATCGCGCGCTTGGCCGCGCAACTATTAGCTGCGATCGTCGTTGGACAGTACTCGGTACCGACGGACGCGGAGGATTCGGCGGCTGCGAAATCTTCGAACGTCGAGGATGCCTCGTTGAACCTCAAGAGAACTCGGCTGCATTTGACGCACCTGTGGTGGGGAGACCTCAAATGGCTGGCTGGCGAGCAATGCCTTCAGACGTTGATGCCACGGTGTCGACATGCGATGGCTTTCATCGGGGTGGTTGTGGTGCTATTCAGCCAATCCAACGCAGCGATACGATCATCGAGCTGTTTTTATGAAGACGAAAGCACCAAGTCCTCAAGACAGAGAACAAAAGTAGCAGCGAAAGAGGGTTTTTGTGAGCGAATGAGAAGATCAGAACAGCACGAAGACGGAAGGACACTATTTGCAGCAGGTCAAGAGCGCACTGCGATTTCCAATCTCGTCTTGGGCATACCGGTAGGATGAGGTAGGATGAGCCAAACCGTAACTGGCGGGCGGATCCCAGTACCGGTAACCTCAAGGTGCTCTGTCTTCTTGTAGGCACGCAGATATTGGGAAGGAGCGTTTCCGCTTGCTACAACGGTACTGATACGTGGTGCACCAAAGCCTTTGCGCATTGCACTTCTAGCCAAGGCAACCGTGATGAAAACGCGATCCATCCCAACTTTATATGTACTAAAGTATCAATCTATCTATTTGACTACGTTCTAATTGGCGTTGATGTTCAGCAATGCTTGACATGCTTTTAACATTCAACGCCAGGAGCAAATCCAGCTTCAAGCGCAAAGCAAACTGACGCGTCTTCAGTGGTTGGCATCCTCGCGAGCCTCGATGGTGATGCAGGGTGGTATTGAACTCCACTACACGTCAGTAGAGCAGACTTGGTCGTTCTCGAGCCAGTGCGAGGGCACAATGTTGCACCGAGTACGAAGACTGGTCAAAACTTGGTCTTCCGGTCGGTTGCACGAGCTCCTCTATTGTTGCTCACATATCACAGTCTTGCACTTGTCGTGCACGAGTCGAATGGCCGGAACGATCTTCGTAGTCGCCAGCGTTCACGACGTAACGTTTTACCGCCATACAAGCTTGGTGGCACGTTGCCACTCCGCGTCTTGATGCTTATGCGTCGTCGCTCCTCCGCGTAGCGGCAACTCTATTTGTGTAGAAGCCAAAGTTCTTCAACGTTGTGGCCGTAGCGACGTGAAGACGACTACAAAAGCGTGTCCGACGTTCTGATTGTTCTGGCGGCGTTGCTTCAAACTAGTTGATCGGACCGTGGGTGCTTGGACGTGGCCGTGATGGACGCCTTCTCGTTGGCTAGCGTGCCACGTGGTAACCGTAGAGATCCTGCGGCGGTTCGTGACGCGCAAAGGAATGGAGGAGAAAAGAAATCACTTTGCGCCAAGTATGTTGCGGCCAATGATCGGTGCGCGCTTCTGCCGCGCCCTCTCTCCTATGCGCGCAGCATCTGCGGCGTTGTATCACGCCGTGTCCCTTGCTGCTTTGATTCGTATCGCGTCGTCTCGACCGTCATTTTCATCGCAGCGAGGTAATCGCTTGCTGCGACGTGCTGCTATTCGTCCGCCTTTCTTTTGCCAATCGCGCTCGGAGCGTTGGTTCGTGCTGCAAGGGTAGCGTTAACCGCCAGTGAGCGCGGACAAGCACATGGCTCGTACCACGGACCAAATCAAGAGCCAGCGCTCGGGATCCTTCAATCGCGTCGCCATACAAAACCTGTATGACTATGATTCCACGCGTGCGTAGACAGTGCACCTCTGACATGTGGGACCACATGGACTCCAGTTACAGGCTAATTACAGACGTCCTTCGAAGCGCAGCCACGGCATTGCCAACGGCAACTTCGGTAGAGGCGCTCACTTTGCCTTTCCAACACGTCGACACAGTTCATAAAGATGGGTCCGAAGAAGACGTCGCGCCCCGACTTCGCGCCGCCGTACACGGTCGGCCCGGAAGAGTACGACCGCCTCATGGCGATTGCCCAAGAGGCCCTCGTGCAGCTCATTGCGACGGCCAAGGTCCTGAGCCTCTCCCGCGGCCAAAATACGCTCAAATCTGAGAAGGAGAAGAACGGGTCTGTCTTTGAGATGGAGCACCAGCAGATGAAGGGCACGATCCAAGAGGTCATGAACTACTACATTTCGGACCGGAGCGATACTGCCAAGTTCAAGCGCACGCAGTGCTGCGCCGACACAGAGCTCGTGCTCGAGATCCACCCGCCGAGCCGGAAGAACCCGCACAAGTTCCTAGGCCTTCGCTGGAAAGCGCTTGATCAGCCGTCGCTCTTTGGCTCGTTTACGCGCTGCCGAGACCTCTGCCTCCTCGAATTCTGCACGCTCTTCCAGGACGACAATGGCCGAACGGGTTGGGCCCGCTGCGTGCACTCGATCGAACACCCGATGTGCCCCGACTTTAGCGAGTCCAACGGGTACCTTCGCTGCAGCGTGGTCAACTCGGGGCTCGTGGTGATGGAGGCCCAGCACGGCGTCGAGACGCTCGACTGTTTCATGGTCTACGACATCCAGGCCCGCGGCAAGACCTCCAAGTGGATCGGGTCGTCGTCTGTCGGTCGCCACTTCCAAGCCGCGCGCAACATGATGATGACGATCCAAACCGAGCGCCGCACGCAGGTCTTCCGCACGATCCGCGCCAACGAAGAGCAGCACAAGATGTCGATGAGTACGACGAGCTCGGATCCGGGCAACACGCCGCTGAACCTCAAGTCGGGCGCCTTCTTTGTGCCCAACACGCCCAACGGCAACGTGCTGCGGCCATCGCCGTCGGCCTCGAACGCGTCGACCGTCATGAGCACGATGGCGCGCGACCCGCCGCCGAAAGAGCCCATCATGCTCGACCTTTCGTATGTCTCGGACCTCAAGTAGAGACATCGAGAAGAAGATCGCTTAGAAGAAGACACATGCGCAGACGGCGCTGTCCCCAAAGAAATCCGTCGACCAATATATCTAATATCCAAGTTTTTGCTTCCCTCTGTAGCGAATCCTCATTTGTCAAAGGGCAAAGTCGCTTGTGCGGGTCGGATGCCACGAAACTATTCAAACGCGCGTTGTAGATACGCTCTTTGCGCCAGTGCGGGGCAGGTCCTGTCCACGCTGCAAGACACGCACCGCAACCCACCGAGATGCATGCGTGATCGAGGCGTCCAGACCCTAGCCCGCGTTACGTCAACGTCCATCCAAGTTGACGCAAAGCGCGTTGGCTGACATCCTAATAACCATCCAGAACATACTAGTCTAGTCGAATGAGTAACTCTTTTGCGCACGACCTGTGTTGCTTAAGTCCATTTCTTGCGGTCGGCAAAACTTGTGTGTTGGTGGGTTCGGGTGACTTTGTTTCAGAGTCAGCGGCGTCGCATCCATCCATCTTCGCAGGCAGTCGACCCCGTCGTCAATTGCCTGTGTCAGTCTAGCCAAGCCGCGACGACGAAGAGCAAGACGTGCCTACGCAAGCGAACGAAGAAGGTGATTGCTAGTCTCTACATTTGCAAAGTTGTGGAAGAACGAAGATAACGCGAACCACGTATATGATGTAGGATGTAAAATGCGAAGTTTAGACAATTTGAAGCATGATCTTGCCCACGTGGTCGCTCGACTCCATGAGCTGGTGCGCCGCCGTGGCCTCCGCGAGCGGAAACGTCTTGTAGATGATGGGCTTGATCTGGCGCGACTCGAGGAGCGGCCAGACCGTGGCCAGCAGCTCTTTCGCGATCTGCGCTTTGAACGCCACGTTCCGCGACCGGAGACCCGAGCCCGTGACGGTGAGTCGACGACGGAGGAACTGGGAGAGATCAATGGGCGCCGACGCCCCCCGCTGCAGCGCAATGATGACGATGCGGCCGTCGTCCGCGAGGCAGTTCATCTCGCGCGGCACGTAGTCGCCGGCCACCATGTCGAGAATGACGTCGACGCCACGCCCACCGGAAATCTCCTTGACAACCGCCGCAAAGTCCTCCGTGCGGTAGTTGATGGCGCGGTCGGCGCCGAGGGCCTCGCAGGCGCGGCACTTTTCGTCGCTGCCGGCCGTGACCCACACCGTGTGCCCGAGCTCCTTCGCGATTTGAATCGCAGTGACACCGATACCAGAGCTGCCGCCTTGCACGAGGAGCGTCTCGCCAGCACTCAATCGCCCGCGCTGAAACACGTTGCTCCAGACCGTGAAGAATGTCTCGGGCAGCGACGCGGCCTCGACCATCGAGAAGCCCTTGGGCACGGGCAGGAGCACGTCGACGGCGGCGGTTGCATACTCGGCGTAGCCACCGCCCGACAAGAGCGCGCACACACGGTCCCCAATCTGAAAGCCCTTGAGGTCCGTGGCAGGCCCCGCCGCGACGATTTCGCCGGCAATGTCAAGGCCAAGGATCTCGGAGGCGCCCGGCGGCGGCGGGTACTTGCCCTGGCGTTGGAGGATGTCGAGGCGGTTGAGGCCGGCAGCGTGGACCTTGATGAGGACCTCGCCGCTCGCAGGTGTCGGCTTCGTAGTCGGCCCCACGTTGAGGACAGTCGCGTCGCCGGGCGTCGAGATAAGGACAGCTTGCATGGTCGCCATGATGGATCGAATCGAAGAATGAACCATACCTGCCTCGTCAAACATTTGCTGATCACAGCCGATTTCGGTTGTGGTAACCGGACACTAAGATCGGATAGCGCATCCGGACAATGGAAAACAAAGTCTTCGGTCACGTTCATGACAACTCTGTGCAGACGCCACGAGCAGCCGAATGCTTTCGCTGTACGCGATCCTAAGCATGACATAATCACCAGCGTCGAAAATTCTTTCATCGGCACACAAGTGGGCAGTGTTGAAGTATCGCAAAGGAACCGACACACGATCCCGCGACGTCTCATTTCATGAGCACCAAGCGCCAAGATGGCTCTGACCTGT